TTTGGGGGTGTTTTTCTGCTAAGGGGACAGGACAACTTCACCGCATCAAAGGGACGATGGACGGGGCCATGTACCGTCAAATCTTGGGTGAGAACCTCCTTCCCTCAGCCAGGGCATTGAAAATGGGTCGTGGATGGGTATTCCAGCATGAAAATGACCCAAAACACACGGCCAAGGCAACAAAGGAGTGGCTCAAGAAGAAGCACATTAAGGTCCTGGAGTGGCCTAGCCAGTCTCCAGACCTTAATCCCATAGAAAATCTGTGGAGGGAGCTGAAGGTTCGAGTTGCCAAAGTCAGCCTCGAAACCTTAATGACTTGGAGAAGATCTGCAAAGAGGAGTGGGACAAAATCCCTCCTGAGATGTGTGCAAACCTGGTGGCCAACTACAAGAAACGTCTGACCTCTGTGATTGCCAACAAGGGTTTTGCCACCAAGTACTAAGTCATGTTTTGCAGAGGGGTCAAATACTTATTTCCCTCATTAAAATGCAAATCAATTGATAACATTTTTGACATGCGATTTTCTGGATTTTTTTGTTGTTATTCTGTCTCTCACTGTTCAAATAAACCTACCATTAAAATTATAGACTGATCATTTATTTGTCAGTGGGCAAACGTACAAAATCAGCAGGGGATCAAATACTTTTTTCCCTCACTGTATAGAGCTCTGATCAGGATGACAATTGATTATGGGTGTATAGTTTATAGAACAGCGGTGAAGACTTGGCTTCAGAAGCCGGACAGAATCCAGTATATAGCTTTAAGGATATGTATTGGTGCATTTAAATCAACATCTGTATGTGCCTTACTAGTGGAGGCAGGTAAGATGCCTTTGGATATACGGCGTTAAAAAATGGTAATTCGCTTATTGGGTTAGGTTGAAAGGCTGTGAGGTTGAGCATCCCACTGCTACTGTTCTAGATGACTGTTGGAAATATACTAGTAGACAAAGTAGTGGTTTTGGTTGGACAGTTGGAAAGCTTGCTGATGAGAGTGGTTAGAGGGAATTGGAGGTTGGCCATTCTATGGTGATAGGGGATGTTCCTCCATGGTTACTCCCAGATCCTGTTGTTGATCTAACCATGGTAGAGAAAAGGAAAAATTGGTCAGAAGTATAATATAATAATAATATGCCATTTAGCAGACGCTTTTATCCAAAGCGACTTACAGTCATGCGTGCATACATTTTTGTGTATGGGTGGTCCCGGGGATCGAACCCACTACCTTGGCGTTACAAGCGCCGTGCTCTACCAGCTGAGCTACAGCTGTGATATGGAAATTGGTTGACAATTACATTGGTAGAAGTTTTTATGCTTTTTTACCGCTTTTCACAGATGGATCCAAGGACCCAGATAGTGGGCGCACAGGAGCAGACGTTTACGTTCCTGAATTTGATGTGCAGATATGAAGAAGACTAACAGATGAACTGTCAGTAAACTCAGTTGAACTGTTGGCGATAGTAGTTGCCCTCCAGTGGGTGGAGGATTTACAACCTGTTAGAATTATAGAATGCTCAGATTCTCTGTCTGTATTGAATAGTTTATCATCTGGTAAATCTAATAGGAGTGACCTACTATTGGAGGTATTCATGTTATTATGGAGAATTGAGAGACTGGGTGTAGTAGTGAGATTATGCTGGGTCTCAGCACATTTGGGTGTGGAAGGGAATTAAATTGTAGACCAGTTAGCCAAAAGAGCTTTGAAAATAGATATAATTGATATTAATGTTCCACTGGGTAGAGGTGAGGCCAAATGTAAGATCAGAGCTATTTTGATAGATGTGTGGTAGAAGAGATGGGACTCTGAGCCCAAGGGCCGGCATATATATGCCCTCCAAGGAAAGGTCAGTGGACCAAGATTCAAAGGTCAGATTAGGAAGGAAGAGGTGGTGTTTGCTTGATTGCGCTTAGGACATTATACATTGAACTTGTTATTACATCTGGTTGGCAAGCATGTGAATGGTTTGTGTCTGGAGTGTATGGTTGATGAAACGGTGGAGCATGTGTTGTTATATTGTTGTAAGTATGTTGAAGAGAGGGAAAGATTGAAGTGTAGGGTCATTGAGGTTGGACGGGGTTGGGGGGGTTTGGAAGGGATTTGGAGGATGGGGGAGGGTCTATTAGAAGTTAGTAGGGCTCTTTTTTATTTTCTCAGAAGTACTGAGTTAGGTAGGAAAATTTAGAAATTTTGTAAACTGTGATTGATCACACACTCCAGCACAGTAGGTGGCGGCATGCACCTTTAACGTCGGTTTGTGGACCGCCATTATACATTTGAAGTCGGAAGTTTACATACACTTAGGTTGGAGTCATTAAAACCCCTTTTTCAACCACTCCACAAATGTCTTGTTAACAAACTATAGTTTTGGCAAGTCGGTTAGGACATCTCCTTTGTGCATTACACAAGTAATTTTCCAACAATTGTTTATAGACAGATTATTTCACTTATAATTCACTGTATCACAATTCCAGTTGGTCAGAAGTTTACATACACTAAATTGACTGTGCCTTTAAACAGCTTGAAAAATTCCAGAAAATGATGTCATAGCTTTAGAAGCTTCTGATAGGCTAATTGATATAATTTGAGTCATTTGGAGGTGTACCTGTGGATGTATTTCAAGGCCTACCTTCAAACTCAGTGCCTCTTTGCTTGACATCATGGGAAAATCAAAAGAAATCAGCCAAGACCTCAGAAAAAGGTTCATCCTTGGGAGCAATTTCCAAACGCCTGAAGGTACCACGTTCATCTGTACAAACAATAGTACGCAAGTATAAACACCATGGGACCACGCAGCCGGCATACCGCTCAGGAAGAAGACGCGTTCTGTCTCCTAGAGATGAACGTACTTTGGTGCGAAAAGTGCAAATCAATCCCAGAACAACAGCAAAGGATCTTGTGAAGATGCTGGAGGAAACAGGTACAAAAGTATCTATATCCACAGTAAAACGAGTCCTATATCCACATAACCTGAAGGCCGCTCAGCAAGGAAGAAGCCACTGCTCCAAAACCGCCATAAAAATGTTTGGAGGAAAAAGGGGGGCCTTGCAAGCCGAAGAACACCATCCCAACTGTGAAGCACGGGGGTGGCAGCATCATGCTGTGGGGGTGCTTTGCTGCAGGAGGGACTGGTGCACTTCACAAAATAGATGGCATCATGAGGAAGGAAAATTATGTGGATATATTGAAGCAACATCTCAAGACATCAGTCAGGAAGTTAAAGCTTGGTCGCAAATGGGTCTTCCAAATGGACAATGATCCCAAGCATACTTCCAAAGTTGTGGCAAAATGGCTTAAGGACAACAAAGTCAAGGTATTGGAGTGGCCATCACAAAGCCCTGACCTCAATCCTATAGAAAATATGTGGGCAGAACTGAAAAAGCGTGTGCGAGCAAGGAGGCCTACAAACCTGACTCAGTTACACCAGCTCTGTCAGGAGGAATGGGCCAAAATTCACCCAACTTATTGTGGGAAGCTTGTGGAAGGCTACCCGAAACGTTTGACCCAAGTTTAACAATTTAAAGGCAATGCTACCAAATACTAATTGAGTGTATGTAAACTTCTGATCCACTGGGAATGTGATGAAATAAATAAAAGCTGAAATAAATCATTCTCTCTACTATTATTCTGACATTTCACATTCTTCAAATAAAGTGGTGATCCTAACTGACCTAAGACAGGGAATTTTTACTAGGATTAAATGTCAGAAATTGTGAAAAACTGAGTTTAAATGTATTTGGCTAAGGTGTATGTAAACTTCCGACTTCAACTGTATAATAGAAGAAGAAGATTGCGACAACCAGCTGACTCCAGTAGTTGATCTAGAAGTGTTGGAGAGACTACAGAAAGATAGGGAGGGGGTTGATCCAGCTGATTTCTTTAAGAGACGTCTGTAAATTGTGTATCAGGCCTCCTGTATCTCAGTTGGTAGAGCATGGTGCTTGCAACGCCAGGGTTGTGGGTTCGATTCCCACGGGGGGCCAGTATGAAAATGTATGCACTCACTAACTGTAAGTCGCTCTGGATAAGAGCGTCTGCTAAATGATGTAAATGTATCAGGATTTTGTGGCCATTTACACAGATGGTTCAAAAGATCCAAGGACAGGACGTACTGGGTCAGCATTTGTAGTGCAGGAGTGTGGGGTGGAAGTCAGGAAACGTATTACAGATCATCTGGCTGTATATACGGCGGAGCTGATGGCCATACTGTTGGCCTTGCAGTGGGTGGAGGAAGTTAAGCCAGATAGAATAGTTATTTGCTCTGACTCATGTGCAGTGTTAATGAGTCTCCAGTCCTTTAGCTCACGTAGCAGACAACACCTGCTTTATGAGGTGCTACAAACCCATGGCAGGATTAAACAGATGGGTATTCAGATAAGATTTACTTGGGTTCCAGCCCATGTGGGGGTTGAGGGGAACAAGGCTGTAGATGAACAGGCTAAACAAGCACTTAGTAGTGGGGATGTTGATGTTGAAGTGTCAATGAGCAAGGCAGAGGCAAAAAGACTGATATATACAGTGATGGTGCAGAGGTGGCAGGAGCAGTGGAATATAAATAATAAGGGAAGGCATTTATTTCAGGTACAGAGGAAAGTCGGGGAGGGGAGGACGGCAGGAAGGGACAGAAGAGAGGAGGCTAATTTTACAAGATTAAGGGTGGGACACAGCCAGTTGAATAAGACATTAAACGTGATAGGAAAGCATCCATCAGGAAAGTGTGATTATTGTCAGGAAATAGAGACTGTGGAGCATGTATTGCTACAGTGTGGGGATTAGATTTAGTATGAGGGAGAAGGGGATACAGGCAATTCGTTTAAAGAGTATATTGAGCAGAATGTCATTAGATATAGTCTCAAATATTTAGTTATCTTTTTTAAGAGAAACGGGGTTGGCAGGTAGGATTTAGTTTCTCCCTGTCTCTGACCCACATTCCAGTACGGTAGGTGGCGGTAATGCACCATAATGTTGGATGCCAACCGCCGATAAACCCCACTTAAGAAGAAGAAGCGACAACCAGCTACATTGTATCAGAAGAGAAAGGCTCACATATGAAAGGGGATCTAGCTACAGTAGCTAGAGGAAACGAAACCCACCTGATTAGTCTTTGACTGGAACAGCAATGGTCAAGATCACTTTCCTGTCCGTCGCGGGACAGAAAGTCGAGAAGGAGAATGATGGAGAAAAGACCGAAATTCTCATAACCCATCCGATGGTAAGTTAGTGATGCATTTTCGTTGTGGTTGAAACATGATATCGCTTTGTGTGCATTGCCCTTCGATAAAACATAGCTAGCTAGCGCTACCTCCAGTAATTATTGACTCGCGCGCGGTGGGCTGTCAAGCGTCTGCGGGGAATTTAACTTGAAATTTACCAGCACACTGAAGAACGCGGCAGGAGCATTTTAACCTTGTTTGAGATCAGAGCAGCCATTGCCATTTGGCAGGAAACGATGCTGTGCGGCTAACAAGCTATTTGTGGAAATGTCTGCACTTTGCCAAATAGTCTACTAAATAGTCTAGTGACTGAACAAAGGGGAACTGCTAGCATCATTACTATTGAACATAGTTACGTGGATGTTCTTAGACAAATTAGCTTTATCAACATCAATTATTTAGGCCAACGTTAGGCTATGAGAATGTAACGCCGATGTTGTCAACATTGGAGTTAAATTATTAGCTGTAAGAACCTAAATCAAGAAGGATCAAATTATTACTTTTGCTCTAAGCATAAACCTATAATGATTGTTGTGGATTATGAAGAATTATCTCTTGGCAAATGTGAATGGATTACAAGAAAAACATGTTTACCAAACACAGGCAGCAGACAAAATGGCAGATGGAGGTTACTGCTGCTTGCCATGCAAGTTCATATTTCATAAGCAGCATCACTGTGCCAACAGTAGGCTACAGTTCTCAACTTGTGATGTAGTGGTTCTAGGAAAGCTTTGCTTCCCAGCATCCTGCTGTTTCAAATCCAATCAAATATGCTTTGCTTTCAGACAGCCCCTTGCAGACAATAATGAGCTACAACGAAAGCCTTAGAAGTGTATTTGATCAAAGGTTAGAAGGATGCATCTTAACCAATTAGGGTGTATGTGTGCCTGTTTTTTTCTCAAGGGTATGTTGGCAGTGGCCTATTGGCCATTACCATCTATAGGGTTTGTTGGAAATGTAGACAGACCATTGTCACATTCTCAGTCCATGTAAGGCCCTCTTATCTCAATCAGCGGGGAAGGAGAACACTGGTAGCTATCTGCCTCTGTGGGGAACACACACACACTGACAGACAGACAACACACACACTGACAGACAGACACACACACACACACACTGACAGACACACACACACACACACACTGACAGACACACACACACACTGACAGACACACACACACACTGACAGACACACACACACACTGACATACACACACACACACACTGACATACACACACACACACACACTGACAGACACACACACACACACTGACAGACACACACACTGACAGACACACACACACACACACTGACAGACACACACACACACACACACTGACAGACACACACACTGACAGACACACACACACTGACAGACACACACACACTGACACACACACTGACACACACACTGACACACACACACACACACTGACAGACACACACACACACTGACAGACACACACACACACTGACAGACACACACACACAATGACAGACACACACACACAATGACAGACACACACACACAATGACAGACACACACACACACTGACAGACACACACACTGACAGACAGACACACACACACACTGACAGACACACACAGACATCGAAAATGATGCCTATCCCTTTGTCCGTGTGCATCTTATCTCCTAGTTTATCCTTCAGCACAGGTTGTCATAACACCAAGGTTTTTGGTTTGATAGTCTGTGAGCTGTTTTCATATGCAGGCAATAGCAACGTCAGGAGAATTTCACTCCAAGTACCAGCTAAGAATAACTTGCTTTGTTGTCTCCTACGCACAGAGCTCATCCTCCAGGATAAATGTACCTGTAGAACCACCTTTCCACCCACGTAGTTGAACATATACGGTAGAAAGGATTTCCGCTCACATCAGTCACATGTTATGTTAATTATCGTAAATGGTTACGTGAGTGGTGTAGGCTACTATCGTGTGCCTCGTGCCAACCCGTGCCACCCTGTCAACACACCGGTTGAGCATGTAGCAGAGGCAGATGGTGTGAGAGACATGGGGTGGCGTTACACTCTGTCTTAGAAGTGCCACGTTACTAACCACTTTGTCATCCCTCTCTCTGCCAACCACGTTGCTGTTTCCCTGCTAAAACGTGCAGATTTATTCCACCTAGCGTAATTATAGCTGAAGGTTTCAGGATTCACTTTTGTATAATCATCTTTCTATCTAAGAGCAGGAGGGGGGTGATAATTAAGTAAGTAAGCCTTGGACAAGTAAGCTTTGTCTTGAGTTTGTTCTGTAGCATGAGGCAGCTTGATGTAGAAGTGCACCCCCTGGACAGGACACTAGCCTGGTGTAACATGCATGTGTGTGACCCTGTGCCTCTCCCTGTTCCCCTGTCAGGAGGATGATGAGGAGCTGGTTTTGCCTCTGCGCTCCCGGAGGTCTCCTCTGAACGGCCTATGCTGCCTGACCTCTGGCCTGGTGGTCTTCATGTCTGGCCTGGTGTTGGCCTCCATCTATGTCTACCGCTACTACTTCATACCTCAGGTACCTGGCACCTTCATACAGTGTCTCAGTACAGTGACAGTATGAGACAACACTCTGATGAGACCACTTAGGACTACAGTGGGGAAAAAAAGTATTTAGTCAGCCACCAATTGTGCAAGTTCTCCCACTTAAAAAGATGAGAGAGGCCTGTAATTTTCATCATAGGTACACGTCAGCTATGACAGACAAAGTGAGGAAAAAAATTCCAGAAAATCACATTGTAGGATTTTTAATGAATTTATTAGCAAATTATTGTGGAAAATAAGTATTTGGTCAATAACAAAAGTTTCTCAATACTTTGTTATATACCCTTTGTTGGCAATGACACAGGTCAAACATTTTCTGTAAGTCTTCACAAGGTTTTCACACACTGTTGCTGGTATTTTGGCCCATTCCTCCATGCAGATCTCCTCTAGAGCAGTGATGTTTTGGGGCTGTTGCTGGGCAACACAGACTTTCAACTCCCTCCAAAGATTTTCTATGGGGTTGAGATCTGGAGACTGGCTAGGCCACTCCAGGACCTTGAAATTCTTCTTACGAAGCCACTCCTTCATTGCCTGGGCGGTGTGTTTGGGATCATTGTCATGCTGAAAGACCCAGCCATGTTTCATCTTCAATGCCCTTGCTGATGGAAGGAGGTTTTCACTCAAAATCTCACGATACATGGCCCCATTCATTCTTTCCTTTACACGTATCAGTCGTCCTGGTCCCTTTGCAGAAAAACAGCCCCAAAGCATGATGTTTCCACCCCCATGCTTCACAGTAGGTATGGTGTTCTCAGCATTCTTTGTCCTCCAAACACGACGAGTTGGGTTTTTACCAAAAAGTTATATTTAGGTTTCATCTGACCATATGACATTCTCCCAATTCTCTTCTGGATCATCCAAATGCACTCTAGCAAACTTCAGACGGGCCTGGACATGTACTGGCTTAAGCAGGGGGACACGTCTTGCACTGCAGGATTTGAGTCCCTGGCGGCGTAGTGTGTTACTGATGGTAGGCTTTGTTACTTTGGTCCCAGCTCTCTGCAGGTCATTCACTAGGTCCCCCGGTGTGGTTTTGGGATTTTTGCTCACCGTTCTTGTGATCATTTTGACCCCACGGGGTGAGATCATGCGTGGAGCCCCAGATCGAGGGAGATTATCAGTGGTCTTGTATGTCTTCCATTTCCTAATAATTGCTCCCACAGTTGATTTTTTCAAACCAAGCTGCTTACCTATTGCATATTCAGTCTTCCCAGCCTGGTGCAGGTCTACAATTTTGTTTCTGGTGTCCTTTGACAGCTCTTTGGTCTTGGCCATAGTGGAGTTTGGAGTGTGACTGTTTGAGGTTGTGGACAGGTGTCTTTTCTACTGATAACAAGTTCAAACAGGTGCCATTAATACAGGTAACGAGTGGAGGACAGTGGAGCCTCTTAAAGAAGAAGTTACAGGTCTGTGAGAGCCAGAAATCTTGCTTGTTTGTAGGTGACCAAATACTTATTTTCCACCATAATTTGCAAATAAATTCATTAAAAATCCTACAATGTGATTTTCTGGATTTTTTCCCCTCAATTTGTCTGTCATAGTTGACGTGTACCTATGATGAAAATTACAGGCCTCTCTCATGTTTTTAAGTGGGAGAACTTGCACAATTGGTGGCTGACTAAATACTTTTTTTCCCCACTGTATATGTCTAACTACTCTATACTATACTCTATGGTCCTATCTTTTGATGTGGGATTTCTAAATGTGCATCCTGGTGTAACTGTCTCTGATGGTGGGGGTGTTATGATGTACAGTTGAGATCAGAGTTTTCCATTTGTTTATCAGCACATTGGTCATTCTATCCCAGTCGTGGATCATGATAATGAAGACTGATCATGAAGATGATAGTTAGTGATAGCCTTGCTAACGGTTCCCCTGTGCCTTGACCTAGATCCCAGAGGAGAGTCTGTTCCACTGCAGGGTTCGTTATGAAGACTCTGTGTACGCTCCTCTGAGAGGCAGACAGGAGCTGGAGGAGAACGTGGGCATCTACCTGGAAGACAACTATGAGCAGATCAGCGTGCCTGTGCCCCATTTTGGAGGAAGCGACCCCGCTGACATCATCCACGACTTTCACAGGGTGAGGAGGACTAGGCACATGTACACGCACGCGCACACCTCTTGTAGGATGTAGAGTCAATCAGCCAGGTTTTTACAGTTTTAATTAGTTATTTTTCTCTGTCTATGTCACCAGGGACTGACTGCCTACCATGACATCACTCTGGACAAATGCTATGTCATCGAGCTCAATACCACCATCGTCATGCCCCCACGGAACCTCTGGGAACTGCTGGTCAACGTTAAGGTAACATAAATCCTGTCTCTCTCTCACTTTCTGTCTGAGATACCATCTCTCATTTTCCACATCCTATTATGTTCTCTCTCTGCTCTCCCTTCTGTCTCTGTCCCTCTCTCCGCTCTCCCTTCTGTCTCTGTCCCTCTCTCCGCTCTCCCTTCTGTCTCTGTCCCTCTCTCCGCTCTCCCTTCTGTCTCTGTCCCTCTCTCCGCTCTCCCTTCTGTCTCTGTCCCTCTCTCCGCTCTCCCTTCTGTCTCTGTCCCTCTCTCCGCTCTCCCTTCTGTCTCTGTCCCTCTCTCCGCTCTCCCTTCTGTCTCTGTCCCTCTCTCCGCTCTCCCTTCTGTCTCTGTCCCTCTCTCCGCTCTCCCTTCTGTCTCTGTCCCTCTCTCCGCTCTCCCTTCGTCTCTGTCCCTCTCTCCGCTCTCCCTTCTGTCTCTGTCCCTCTCTCCGCTCTCCCTTCTGTCTCTGTCCCTCTCTCCGCTCTCCCTTCTGTCTCTGTCCCTCTCTCCGCTCTCCCTTCTGTCTCTGTCCCTCTCTCCGCTCTCCCTTCTGTGTCTGTCTGTCGCTCTCTCGCTCTCTCGCTCTCAATTCAATTCAAAGTGCTTTATTGGCATGGGAAACATATCTTTACATTGCCAAAGCAAGTGAAATAGATAATAAACAAAAGTGAAATAAACAATAAAAAATGAACAGTAAACATTACACTCACAAAAGTTCCAAAGGAATAGAGAAATGTCAAATGTCAGATTATGGCTATATACAGTGTTGTAATGATGTGCAAATAGTTAAAGTACAAAAGGGAAAATAAAGAAACATAAATATGGGTTGAATTTACAATTGTGTTTGTTCTTCACTGGTTGCCCTTGTGGCAACAGGTCACAAATCTTGCTGCTGTGATTGCACACTGTGGTATTTCACCCAATAGATATGGGAGTTTATCAAAATTGGATTTGTTTTTAGAATTATTTGTAGGTCTGTGTAATCTGAGGGAAATATGTCTCTAATATGGTCATACATTTGGCAGGAGGTTAGGAAGTGCAGCTCAGTTTCCACCTTATTCTGTGGGCACATAGCCTGTCTTCTCTTGAGAGCCAGGTCATCCCTATGGCGACCTTTCATAATAGCAAGGCTATGCTCACTGAGTCTGTACATAGTCAAAGCTTTCCTTAATTTTGGGTCAGTCACAGTGGTCCGGTATTCTGCCACTGTGTACTCTCTGTTTAGGGCCAAATATCATTCTAGTTTGCTCTGTTTTTTTGTAAATTCTTTCCAATGTGTCAAGTAATTCTCTTTTAGTTTTCTCATGATTTGGTTGGGTCTAATTGTGTTGTTGTTGTTGTTGTCCTGGGGCTCTGTGGGGTCTGTTTGTGTTTGTGAACAGAGCCCCAGGACCAGATTGCTTAGGGGACTCTTCTCCAGGTTCACCTTTCTGTAGGTGATGGCTTCGTTATGGAAGGTTTGGGAATCGCTTCCTTTTAGGTGGTTGTGGAATTTAACGGCTCTTTTCTGGATTTTGATAATTAGCGGGTATCGGCCTAATTCTGTTCTGCATGCATTATTTGGTGTTTTATGTTGTACATAGAGGATATTCTTGCAGAATTCTGCATGCAGTCTCAATTTGGTGTTCGTCCCATTTTGTGAATTCTTGGTTGGTGAGCGGATCCCAGACCTCACAACCATAAAGGGCAATGGGTTCTATAACTGATTCAAGTATTTTTAGCCAGATCCTAAGTGGTATGTCAAATTTTATGTTCCTTTTGATGGCGTATAAGGCCCTTCTTGCCTTGTCTCTCAGATCGTTCACAGCCTTGTGGAAGTTACCTGTGGTGCTGATGTTTAAGCCTGGCTAGGTATAGTTTTTTGTGTGCTCTAGGGCAACGGTGTCTAGATGGAATTTGTATTTGTGGGCCTAGCAACTGGACCTTTGTTGGAACACCATTATTTTTGTCTTACTGAGATATATTGTCAGGGCCCTGGTCTGACAGAATCTGTGCAGAAGATCTAGGTGCTGCTGTAGGCCCTCCTTGGTTGGTGACAGAACACCAGATCATCAGCAAACAGTAGACATTTGACTTCAGATTCTAGTAGGGAGAGACCTGGGTGATGCAGATTGTTCTAGTGGCCTCGCCAATTCGTTGATGTGTGTGTGTGTGTATAATATATATATATATATATATTATATATATATTATATATATATATATATATATATATATGTGTACAGTTGAAGTTGGAAGTTTAGATACATTTAAACTAAGTTTTTCACAATTCCTGACATTTAATCCTAGGTCAGTTTAATCCTAGGTCAGTTAGGATCGCCACTTTATTTTAAGAATGTGAAATGTCAGAGAGAATGATTTATTTAAGCTTTTATTTCTTTCATTACATTCCCAGTGGGTCAGAAGTTTACATGCACTCAATTAGTATTTGGTAGCATTGCCTTTAAATTGTTTAACTTGGGTCAAACGTTTCGGGTAGCCTTCCACAAGCTTCCCACAATAGGTTGGGTGAATTTTGGCCCATCCCTCCTGACAGAGCTGGTGTAACTGTGTCAGGTTTGTAGGCCTCCTTGCTCGCACACACTTTTTCAGTTCTGCCCACATATTTTCTATAGGATTGAGGTCAGGGCTTTGTGATGGCCACTCCAATACCTTGACTTTGTTGTCCTTAAGCCATTTTGACACAACTTTAGAAGTATGCTTGGGGTCATTGTCCATTTGGAAGACCCATTTGCGACCAAGCTTTAACTTCCTGACTGATGTCTTGAGATGTTGCTTCAATATATCCACATAATTTTCCTTCCTCATGATGCCATCTATTTTGTGAAGTGCACCAGTCCCTCCTGCCACAAAGTACCCCAACAGCATGATGCTGCCACCCCAGTGCTTCACGGTTGGGATGGTGTTCTTCGGCTTGCAAGCAACCCCCTTTTTCCTCCAAACATAACGATGGGCATTATGGCCAAACAGTAAAAAAAATTTTTTATCAGACCTGAGGACATTTCTCCAAAAAGTACGATCTTTGTCCCCATGTTCAGTTGCAAACCGTAGTCTGGCTTTTTTATGGTGGTTTTGGAGCAGTGGCTTCTTCCTTGCTGAGCGGCCTTTCAGGTTATGTCGATATAGGACTCGTTTTACTGTGGATATAGATACTTTTGTACCCGTTTCCTCCAGCATCTTCACAAGGTCCTTTGCTGTTGTTCTGGGATTGATTTGCACTTTTCGCACCAAAGTACGTTCATCTCTAGGAGACAAAATGCGTCTCCTTCCTGAGCGGTATGACGGCTGCGTGGTCCCATGGTGTTTATACTTGCGTACTAATGTTTGTACAGATGAACATGAACCTTCAGGCGTTTGGATATTGCTCCCAAGGATGAACCAGACTTGTGGAGGTCTACAATCTTTTTTCTGAGGTCTAGGCTGATTTCTTTTGATTTTCCCATGATGTCAAGCAAAGAGGCAATGAGTTTGAAGGTAGGCCTTGAAATGCATCCACAGGTACAGCTCCAATTGACTCAAATGATGTCAATTAGCCTATCAAAAGCTTCTAAAGCCATGACATCATTTTCTGGAATTTTCCAAGCTGTTTAAAGGCACAGTCAACTTAGTTCATGTAAACTTCTGCCCCACCGGAATTGTGATACAGTGAATTATAAGTGACGTAATCTGTCTGTAAACAATTGTTGGAAAAATTACTTGTGTCATGCACAAAGTAGATGTCCTAACCGACTTGCCAAAACTATAGTTTTGATCTGGTGGTCTTCTATCCACACCTTGATTGACCCTGCTGTGTGGCATGGCGCATTGTCCTGCTGGAAAAACCAATCCTCAGAGTTGGGGAACAATGTCAGAGCAAAAGGAAGCAAGTTTTCTTCCAGGACAACCTTGTATGTGGCTTGATTCATGCGTCCTTCACAAAGACAAATCTGCCCGATTCCAGCCTTGCTGGAATTTGCACCCCCAGATCATCACCGATCCTCCACCAAATTTCAAAGTGGGTGCGAGACACTGTGGCTTGTAGGCCTCTTCAGGTCTCCGTCTAACATTAGACGACCAGGTGTTGGGCAAAGCTGAAAATTGGACTCATCAGAGAAGATGACCTTATTCCAGTCCTCTACGGTTCATTCCTTATGGTCTTTTGCAAACCTCAGCCTGGCTTTTCTTTGCTTCTCATTAATGAAGGGCTTTTTTCTAGCTTTGCACGACTTCAGCCCTGCCCCTAGGAGCCTGTTTCGAACCGTCCTCGCCGTGTACTTCACCCCAGCTGCCGTTTGCCATTCTTTTTGTAGGTCACTTGATGTCGTCCTACGGTTGTTGAGTGACAGTCAAATGATTTGGGGGTCATCCCGGTCAGTAGAGAGTTGTTTTCGCCCTCTGCCAGTCTGTAGCTTTGTTGTTCCCAATGTCTGCTGCTTGACCTTGTTCTTATGAACCGCTGTCTTTGACATTTTAAGGATGGAAGCAACCTGACGCTCACTGTATCCCTCTGCCAGTAAAGCCATAATTGAACCCTTCTATTCCTCACTCAAAACTTTCCTTTTCATCTCTTTTGGCATGGTCAATAGTTATTTTTTGATTAATATTACTTTTGAAGTACTATTAGCACTGTTTTTGCCATCCAGCTGTTCCTATTGCAAGAGGATAGTGATGACCACAGCAGTGGTTTTTATACTTTTCCTCGTTAAATAAGATTTGTCTCAGATGATCACCTAATCAGTACCTAATTCAGTAGAATGAGGTGTGCCTGTGTTGGAATTCAACAGACACTGGAATGGAATGGCTGTCATACATGTAGAGATGCTGATTTAAGAAAAATGTGCAGTGTTCTCTTAATTTTTTCCAGAGCTGTATATATATGTATGTATGTTTATATATGTGTGTGTGTGTGTGTGTGTGTGTATATGTATACAGTTAAAGTCGGAAGTTTACATACACTTAGGTTGGAGTCATTAAAACTCATTTTTCAACCATTCCACAAATGTCTTGTTAACAAACTATAGTTTTGGCAAGTCGGTTAGGACATCTACTTTGTGCATGACACAAGTGATTTTTCCAACAATTGTTTGCAGACAGATTATTTCACTTATAATTCACTGTATCACAATTCCAGTGGGTCAGAAGTTTACATACACTAAGTTGACTGTGCCTTTAAACAGCTTGGACATTTTCAGAAAATGATGTCATGGCTTTAGAAGCTTTTGATAGGCTAATTGACATCATTTGAGTCAATTGGAGGTGTACCTGTGGATGTATTTCAAGGCCTACCTTCAAACTCAGTGCCTCTTTACTTGACATCATGGGAAAAATCAAAAGAAATCAGCCAAGATCTCAGATTTTTTGGGGGGACCTCCACAAGTCTGGTTCATCCTTGGGAGCAATTTCCAAACGCCTGAAGGTACAGTGTTCATCTGTACAAACAGTAGTACGCAAGTATAAACACTGTGGGACCACGCAGCCGTCATACCGCTCAGGAAGGAGACGCGTTCTGTCTCCTAGAGATGAACGTACTTTGGTGTGAAAAGTGCAAATCAATCCCAGAACAACAGCAAAGGACCTTGTGAAGATGCTGGAGGAAACGGGTACAAAAGTATCTATATCCACAGTAAAAACGAGTTCTATATCGACATAACCTGAAAGGCCGCTCAGCAAGGAAGAAGCCACTGCTCCAAAACTGCCATAAAAAAACCAGGCTACGGTTTGCAATTGCACATGGGGACAAAGATCGTACTTTTTGGAGAAATGTCCTCTGGTCTGATGAAACAAAAATAGAACTGTTTGGCCATAATGCCCATTGTTATGTTTGGAAGAAAAAGGGGGTTGCTTGCAAGCCAAAGAACACCATCCCAACCGTGAAGCACGGGAGTGGCAGCATCATGCTGTGGGGGTGCTTTGCTGCAGGAGGGACTGGTGCACTTCACAAAATAGATGGCATCATGAGGAAGGAAAATTATGTGGATATATTGAAGCAACATCTCAAGACATCAGTCAGGAAGTTAAAGCTTGGTCGCAAATGGGTCTTCCAAATGGACAATGACCCCAAGCATACTTCCAAAGTTGTGGCAAAATGGCTTAAGGACAACAAAGTCAAGGTATTCCCACAGGGGGCCAGTATGAAAAATAAAAAACGAATGTATGCACTCACTAACTGTAAGTCACTCTGGAAAAGAGCGTCTGCTAAATGACTAAAAATGTAAATGTATTGGAGTGGCCATCACAAAGCCCTGACCTCAATCCTATAGAACATTTGTGGGCAGAACTGAAAAAGCTTGTGCGAGCAAGGAGGCCTACAAACCTGACTCAGTTACACCAGCTCTGTCAGGAGGAATGTGCCAAAATTCACCCAACTTATTGTGGGAAGCTTGTGGAAGGCTACCCGACACGTTTGACCGAAGTTAACCAATTTAAATGCAATGCTACCAAATACTAATTGAGTGTATGTAAACTTCTGATCCACTGGGAATGTGATGAAATAAATAAAAGCTGAAATAAATCATTCTCTCTACTATTATTCTGACATTTCACATTCTTAAAATAAAGTGGTGATCCTAACTGACCTAAGACAGGGAATTTTTACTAGGATTAAATGTCAGGAATTGTGAAAAACTGAGTTTAAATGTATTTGGCTAAGGTGTATGTAAACTTCTGACTTCTACTGTGTGTGTGTTGAAGAGGCTTGGGCTCAAGCTGCATCCCTGTCTCACCCTACGGCCCTGTGGAAAGATATTTGTTTTTTGCCAATTTTAACTGAACACTTGTTTGTATACATGGATTTTATAATGTTGTATGTTTTTCCCCCAACACCACTTTCCATCAATTTGTATAGCAGACCCTCATGCCAAATTGAGTCAAAGCATGAGAAGACTTTGCCTTTGTTTTGTTTGTTTGTCAATTAGGGTGTGCAGGGTGAATACTTGGTCTGTTGTACAGTCATTTGGTAAAAAGCCGATTTGACATTTGCTCAATACATTGTTTTCACTGAGGAAATGTACAAGTCTGCTGTTAATGATAATGCAGAGGATTTTTCCAAGGTTGCTGTTGACACATATGTTGATGCATATCCCACGGTAGTCCAATCCCACGGAGCACCATTTAAATCCATTATAAAAAAATGGAAAGAATATGGCACCACAACAAACCTGCCAAGTGAGGGCCGCCCACCAAAACTCACGGACCAGGCAAGGAGGGCATTAATCAGAGAGGCAACAAAGAGACCAAAGATAACCGTGAAGGAGCTGCAAAGCTCCACAGCGGAGATTGGAGTATCTGTCCATAGGACCACTTTAAGCCGTACACTCCACAGAGCTGGGCTTAACGGATGAGTGGCCAGAAAAAAGCCATTGCTTAAAGAAAAAAATAAGCAAATCGTTTGGTGTTCGCCAAAAGGCATGTGGGAGACTCCCCAAACATATGGAAGAAGGTACTCTGGTCAGATGAGACTAAAATTGATTTGAGACTGGGACAGAGGTTCACCTTCCAGCAGGACAATGATCCTAAGCATACTGCTAAAGCAACACTCGAGTGGTTTAAGGGGAAACATTTAAATGTCTTGGAATGGCCTAGTCAAAGCCCAGACCTCAATCCAATTGGGAATCTGTGGTATGACTCAAAGATTGCTGTACACCAGCGGAACCTTGAAGAATGGGCAAAAATCCCAGTGGCTAGATGTGCCAAGTTTATAGAGACATAGCCCAAGAGACTTGCAGCTGTAATTGCTGCAAAAGGTGGCTCTACAAACTATTGACTTTGGGGGGGTGAATAGTTATGCACGCTCAAGTTTTCTGTTTTTTTGTCTTGTTTATTTCCAGGTGTTCTGGGTCTCTGTTTTTGATTGGATAGGTTTCTCAATTTCTTAGGTTTTTACATTCTTCATCAAACCATTTGTCGTCATTGTTAATTTTCTTAGGTTGTCTGCTTGAAATTGTTAGATTTGATAGGGAAGCTGAGAGGTCAAATATACTGTTTAGGTTTTCTATTGCCAAGTTTACGCCTTCACTATTACAGTGGAACGTTTTGTCCTTGAAGTTGTCTAAAAGGGATTTAATTTGTTGCCTAATTGTTTTTTAGTAGGTTTCTACACTACTTTCCTTCCATCTATAACATTTCTTAATATTGTGCAGTTCCTTTGGCTTTGATGCCTCATGATTGAGTATTGCTCTGTTCAAGTAGACTGTGATTTTGCTGTGATCTGGTAGAGGTGTCAGTGGGCTGACTGTGAACACTGAGAGACTGGGTTGAGGTCAGTGATAAAGTAATCTACAGTACTACTGCCAAGGGATGAGCTGTAGGTGTACCTACTGTAAGAGTCCCCTCAAAGCCTACGATTGACTATGTACACACCCAGCATGCGACAGAGCTGCAGGGGTTGTGACCCGTTTTTGTTGGTTGATTTGTCATAGTTGTCTCTAGGGGGGCATATTTGGGAGGTAATGCTGTCACCTCCAGGTAGGTGTTTGTCCCCCTGTGTGCTGAGGGTGTCAGGTTCTTGTCCAGTTCTGGCATTTAGGTCGCCACAGACTAGTACATGGCCCTGGTCCTGGAAATGGTTGATCTCCCCCTCTAGGATGGAGAAGCTGTCATCGTTTAAAGTATGGGGATTCTATTGGGGAATATAGGTAGCACACATGAGGACATTCTTCTCTGTTGAGATAATTTCCTTATTCATTTCTAGCCAGAGTCTCTTCCCTGTTTCACACCTGGTAGTTTGGTGGATGGGCCTTCCAGCTCTCTGTAACTTAGGGGGCAACCAGTGGGTCCATCTCCTCTATACCATGTTCGCTGTAGAATGTCAATGTCTGTATTTCCAATTTCTTTGAAGTCTGGGTTCCTCCTCTCTCTCCTCTCCCTTCTCTCTTTTCCTCTTTCTCTTTCTGAACTCTAACCCTGTCTACCTCCCCCTCTCTGTCTTTAGAAGGGGACGTACCTGCCCCAGACATACATTATCCAGGAAGAGATGGTCGTGACGGGGAAGGTTCACAACATGCGCCAGCTGGGGCCCTTCATCTACCGCCTGTGTAACGGCAAGGACACGTACCGTCTGAAGCGCCGCGCCCGCAGACGTAAGTTGGGGAGATGTGATGGAGAGGGGGAGGTTCAGAGCCTTGTATAAGGTTTTGCGGGTCACTCAGGGTCTGAATGGTCTATCTTTTCTCTTGTCTAATAAAAGCTTTTCACTGTTTGACTTGTAGGCGTCAACAAACGGGAAGCGGCGAACTGCCATCGCATCCGCCACTTTGAGAACACGTTTGTTGTTGAGACGGTCATCTGTGATTGAGCGTAAACTGTTACCCCACCATGACCGCCACGCACGACACCCCAAGGCACAGCCACCTCTCCAGCCACTGTAGCGCATCCCTGTGTAGATACTTTGAATTACGTTTCAGTTGCACTTGAACTATGGTTTTGTTCCTTTTTTGGTATGTTTTACTGTCTCTTATAAAAAAAGTTCATTTTTGTAATTGTCAGTAGTGATGTTTTCCTTGTGTTTCCTGGCTGCAATAATACATGTTTTTCTCTGTGATTTACCTTGGCTGAAATAGTTTCATGTAGCAGAACCACTAAGCTAATTATAATGGGGGGGTTCCACTTAAGATAACTGTGTGACTGCCTCTGTTGTCAGGGGAGACAACCGTTTCCATGTGTTGTCAAGGTGACTGTACTTGATTTCCCTGCTCTTGAAATTACTGCTCATCCCTGTTCGTTTTGTAATAGGACCCTGTGCTAAGGCATGAAATCTTGCTACTCAGCAAACACCCGACCTAATGTTGTGCCGCATCGCTCTCAGCTTTATCTCTTGCTCTTTGTCTCACTCTGTTTCTCTGTCACTGTTTCTCTGTCCCAGCACACCTCCTCTTGCTTCTTTCTCTTTCAGCTGATCTTTCTTCTTCTTTAGCTCAGTCACCCAATCGGACTAAGGTAAAAAAAAATTGAATGTGAGTTTAAGAAACAGTGTCCCTACAAAGTGAAATAGACAAATTGGCCATTATTAGTCTTTGTGCACGTTTGCACCTGTATGTAAGTAGTCTAGAATCATGTATATGACATTAAATACCTGCTCTTCACTTACTGTGTGTAGTTATATGTAATGTAGCAGATTATTTCCAGCCAAGCTGCCCTTCCCCCTGTGAAAGCTTCAAAGTTTCTCCCTCCTTTTTGATGCCCCTCTTATCACCTCTTCATTATTTGTTCTTTCTTTTGGGGGAGGCCGAGCCTCTCCCCCTTCGTTTGCACTCTTTATCAACGCTTCTGTGAGTCGTTCTAGTAGAATTCTGTCTTGATTTTCCCCCCTGCATGTGTGTTTCTCTGTAAGCGAAAAACTGCACTGTTAGAATCTTTTATAAACCACGTTTAAAGCCTTGGTCCAGAGTCAGAGACTGGACTAAAGTAATGACTGCTGTAAGGGAGTTTATTATATAATATGTTAATCTATACCTTAGACTGGTCTGTATATTTTGTCTGCTGGTGAAGTCTTATCTGTGAATAAAGTAGTTAAAACACCTGGGGGCTTCTGTTGTTTGTTCTTTCTAAATAACTGCTAGTTGTTTCTGTATTGTGGGCATCATTGGGACATTTGGCTGTCCCGGGTCACTTTGGCTCTGTGCCACCAGCTTTGTTTCATTGTCTAGAGGTAACGGATCATATTACGTGTCAGTGGTGAAAGTGTGAAACCAGACTGCTATCTGTGCTATGTAGGTTAAAGTGGAGAGTTGTGGTATGATATGAGGTGTCTTTTAGTAAGGTAAAGTGAAAACAAATCTCATGCACTGACCTGTTTGGGCTTAGTGGAAAAGCATCTGATTTTTACACAGTTAATTGAGCTGTGTGATGTCATTTTTAGATGAGAAAATGTAGATACTGGCTAACAACATGTAGAGCCTTTTTAGACTACACATATGTTACATAGCCTATATCCAGTCAAAATACACTGCTTGATTAGTGTTTTCTTAGGCCTAAAGGCATTGTCTTTCGTAAGATAGTGTGATGATTCCCCCTGCACTGATGTTTGAGGGACAAGCGTTGCAAAGGAGTGACGCCACCTGTCGGAAGACAATGGCTCAAAGTATGAATTTATTTGCATGCTATCTTTACACTGGCTTTCCTGTATTAGACTCCATAGTGACTCCTTATGTACAGACTGTCTGCCATATAGCGTGGACACAGATGCCCCTCCATGTGGCAGGGCTCTGAGCCACAGAGCTGTTGGATGGCTGCTGCTGCCTGCCTGGGTCCTCAGCCAGGATACTCATGAATTATCAACAAAGTCACATGACTGTCTGATGTTCGAACCACTCAACAGCAGGAAATGTTGGTCACCCGGCCCCACGTGGATGAAAGCAGAATTGAAAGCCTTAGTAATTGTCAGTACTTTTGGAAAAGTGACTGAGGTCGATGTACAAAACCTACATACAGTAAATGTCAATGACTGCGGTCTTATTAACCATCAAAATCACATGAAGATAAGAGGTTGTAAAGTGTTTATTAAATAAAACCTATTATATGAGCACATCTTAAAAGTACAGATGAGCGCAAGAGATTAACTGTTACCCAATTTTTTGGGGGGGACAAAATATAATTGAACATTTAACTATAAATTGTGGAATATTTAGGAACACATGTTGATGCAGTTACCTCAAACTAGTTTTCTCACTCACTGTGTCCTCATCCCTCATCTACTTTCATGTGATCTGGCCAGAGAAACCCTCTTTCTTCTTCCAGAAAGCATCTAAAGAGAAGTAGTACAACAGTGGATCTAGACAACAGTTGACGCTGGCCAGACAGAACATGGGCATGACAGCCTCCCTGATTCTGAGCGTAAGCACGATGGAGAATGGCAGGAAGAAGACAATAAACATCAGAAGGTTGATGGTGAAGATCATCATGACGTTCATCTTGTTGTTGACCCTGGCGGCATCGCTGAGGTGCCTGCGTAGCGTCCAGTACACCATGGCGGTGGAGACCACGTTGACCCCCAGCATGGCGAACACCAGCCCTGACTGCACGTAACCAGCGATCGGCACATCCACGGCACATCCATGAGTTGTCCACTCAAAGCATTTGTCAGTGGCGTTACAGCTCTTAATCTGACTGATCTTGTAGAGGGCCTCTGGGATGTTGACCGCCACGATCAGGACCCAGATGAAGACACAGGCCTTCCAGGCGTTGGTGGTGGTGCGGAGGTGGCGGGTTCTTAGAGGGTAGACCACAGCCAGCAGCCTGTCCAGGCCAATGAAGGTGATGAAGACGGTGTTGGAGCGGATGTTGTTGCGGAACAGCATAGTGGTGGCCGTGCAGGCCTGGATGCCCAGGGGCCAGGTGCCCGTGGCGTAGAAGTAGACCCGGGTGGGCAGGGAGAGCACCAGCAGCAGGTCGGACAGAGCCAGGTGGCTCATGAAGACAGCGCTGGAGGATTTGAGGCCGTGGTGGCGGACCAGAACCCATAGCAACAGGCGTTGAGCAGCAGGCCCAGCACCACCACACAGCCGTACACCGCGGCAGAGGCTGTATACACGGCATTCACACAACTCAGCTACGGAGCGCTGTCCTCTAAGGTATTGTTGGTGTTGTTCATGGTACTGTATCTCTGCTCCTTTAAGACAGACACAGCTGTGTGTGTCTGTGCATGTGAACTGAAAAGAGACAGAAACCACACCAAACCAGCAGCTCAGTGCTCTGGTTACCAGTTCCTACCAGAGCGGTCTGTATAGAGGTTGAGCTGATCTTTACTCTGTTTTTTTAATACAAGTGTTGAAACAATTGTTGAAACAGGAAGTGAGGGTGCTTTTTTTTTTATCTCAGGAAGGGCCTGCCATCCTTTCTGCTAATCTGTTTGAAGACTCTTGATAACAGGAAGTATCTCTGAACTCTCTGACCTATACAGACAGTCATCATTTGTTTTGCCAAAAGTGAGTTATTCGTAGTGAATAATTAAAAACAAACAGATGATGATCAAGAGCAACTGTCTAAAACATTGAAATACCGTTTTAGATTTTAAATGGTCTGGATGTACACATTTGTGCTGGCTAGATTGCAGTGGTGGAAAAAGTACCCAATTTATATACTTGAGTAAAAGTAAAGGTACCTTATTAGAAAATGACTCCAGTTAACGTTTTAAATATACTTAAGTATCAAAAGTAAAAGTGTAAATCATTTCAAATTCCTTATATTAAGCAAACCAGACGGCACCATTTTCTTGTGTTTTCAATTTACGGATCGCCAGAGGCACACTCCAACACCCAGACATAACTTACAAACGAAGCATTTGTGTTTGTGAGTCCGCCAGATCAGAGGCAGTAGGGCTGACTAAGGATGTTCTCTTGATAAGTGAGTGAATTGGACCATTTTCCTGTCCTGCTAAGCATTCAAAATGTAACTTTTGGGTGTCAGGGAAAATGTTTAGAGTAAAAAGTACATTATTTTCTTTAGTGAAGTAAAAGTCAAAAATATAAATAGTAAAATAAAGTACAGATACCCCAAAAAACTACTTAAGAAGTACTTTAAAGTATTATTACTAAACTGCTAGATTGAGAGTGGTTGGCTTACATCTGAACAGTCCATATCTGAACAATGTATAATTATGTATATGCTTCTATTCAGTATGAATAAATTACACGACTCAGGGTTGTAAATCCCATGCCTTTTGTTGATCAGATTAGTTAGTGTTAGATATGCCCTCTGAGATCTTCTGTGGAACCTCTATGAATCTCAGCCTCCTAAAGGGTAAGACTTGTATGAGGTCACAGGTGTGATGAGTGAGAATATAATAGAACATAAACTTGAAGGTTGGATGATTGATTTGAAAACATTGTGTTGGCCATTCATTCATTCATTCTTCAAGAGTCTTTCATGAGACTTGTCTCCTCTCTCTGCTGTGGGGATCTGAGTTTCCCATTTCCCAGATAGAGGTAATAGCCATCCATCTACAGGGGAAGCATCTCCACCCTGCTCTCCACTCTGCACGCGGCAAGAAGTGATAAGCCACATCTATCTAGCAAGTCCTATCGATTTCCAGTGACCTGGGTGTCTGATCCTGTCTCTCCGGGTCCCTTGACCTTGATGTTGTCCATCGGACGCTGGTTGATTTCCCGGGGCTTTGCCACCATGTTCCCTCTAATGGACATCCTCCTCCTCTCCTGGCTGGCAGTCAGCAGGTTCTCCTTCAGGATGAGGTAGTAGCAGACCCCGTCCGTCAGACAGTTGACGCTGCTCAGACAGGTGCTGATGTGGACGAAGTCTCTGAGGGGGTTGATGACGCCCGGGTCCTCTGTGCGGTTCTTGGCCAGGAAGTAGACGACTGCGGCCACGTGGTAGGGGATGAAGCACAGCAGGAAGGCCACCAGGTTGCTCAGGACGATCTTCACAGACTTGTTGTCCCTCAGCTTCTCGTCCAGCGGGTACCGACGCCGCATGTTACTCAGGATCTGCATCACGCACACTGAGAAGAACACCATAGTGATGGTGCTGATTGTGAACACTGTCTCCATGGTGACGATGATCCATTTCTTCTCCCAGGTTTCTCTGGAGAATTTCTCAAAACACCTGGTTTCGTTGCCGTTGTGCAGGCTGGTGGTGTTTTTGTTGTGGAGCTCATAGACGGGCATGGTGAAAGCGAATACCGTCACCCACACGGCCAGGCATACCATGGCAGCCTTCCGTGGCGAGCGCAGACTCTTGCCGTTGAATGGAAACCGCAGAGAAACATAGCGGTCGCCCGAGATGCACACGATCAGTATGATGCTCCCATAGATGTTGACGAACACCAGGCTCTCCAGGAAGGTGCAGAAGCCCATGCTCAGGCCCCAGGTGCGGCCGTAGGCGTACATCTTGAAGGGCAGAGAGAAGATGAGAAGGCTGTTGTTGATGATCAGACTGCTGAGGTACACCGTGGACTCAGTCCATCGACGGATCCTGAAGAGGAGGAGCCACAGAGCGGCCAGGTTGAGGGGAAAACCCACAAGGAATGTGGGGACATAGACGATCCACTGGATATAGCACACGTCCCTTTCACACAGTGCCATTTTACTGCAAACAGAGAGGGAAATATAATACACATATAAATGTAATTGCACTTTTCACTTACGACACAATGCTTTTTAACCAATACAAGAGGCATCAATCGGGATGGTCATTGAGCAAGAGTAAAGAGATGTATAGGTATAGTTAGGGATTTTGGCAATGAAGCATGCCAGCTTTTCTTGTAGACTTCCAGTCATTGCGCTAACGCTAGTTAGCAACTGTGCTAACACAAGTTAGCAACTTCCTTCAAAATGAACACAGAGACATAAAAATGGTATCCACGTGTTCATCTGACTCTGTGGAAGAAGATAAAGATCCTCTTTGCCAAAATCCTGAACTATTCATTTAAAGGGAAATTTCACAGTTTTTCTACTACATATTCATCATTTTCTGCACCATCCCAACATCAATATAATGTGAAAATGGCGTGTTTCTATGTTTTGTAGTAGAAAAGATAGGAAGATGAGTATTTCCAATGACATCATCAACCAATTGGTAGGCAATGCCTACTCATAATTGGTTAAACTCACATGATGCACACCAATGCATATTCACACTATCTTTTTTACTACAAAACATAGAAATGCACCATTTTCACATATGTTGATGTTGGGGTGGAGCTGGAGATGATGAATATAAAGTTGAAAACGTAACTATCCCTTTAACTGTATGCTACATGTTATGTCAACTTGAGGGGATATCCTGTAGTAAAGCTCAAGTGCATTGGAAGATAATTAAGCAACTAATCATTTGGACGACTAATGCCATCTCATAGACTAGGCATAGTGTTACTACCTAGTAGACTACTGTAACTGATTTCATCTTAGTGTAACAGGCAGGACCTTTTTAGAGGTCCACCACTAAGTGGCAGTACTCAATTCCTCTGTAACCCTATAAAAGGGCAAAGGAATTGGCCATCTTGGAAGCCATTTTACCTAAGATTCTGGGATGATCTCAGTTGCACACTCCTCGTGTCCTCTCTTCTCATGTCCTTCTCAAAACCCATTGGAGGACAAGTTCAGAGGGGCGGGACCTCTGGTTTTCTCATCCAATGGGTTTTGAGAAGGAAACGAGGAGCGAGGACATGATGAGAGCGCAATTGAGATCTTCCCTCTCTTGGGCCATGTCAAAAATGATCTATTATATTGACAAGATAGTCCAGTGACCACGTTAACAATGGAAATACATGTCCTCAAAGATGGAAGGCAGGCGTGAGGAGGCAAGATCAGGTGGGACCATTCTACCCAATGAGAGGGGCAGATATGCGTGTGAACAACAGATATAAAGTCATTTTTTTCAAAGAGTTATATTCCAAATAAAAACTATTATATTTTGTATTTGGTTGTGCTTCTTAGTTTGGAACTAGTCTTTGCTCCTGTCTAAACCAAGGGGTTGGCGTACAGCTACTGTCCATGACTACTGGGCACAGATGTCAGCTCTAGTTCTGATTGACATTTGGTTGAGTTGTCAACTAACATGAATTCAACGTCAAATCAACACAAATGTCACCATGTCATTGGAATTAAGTTAAAATTTGGGTGAAAGAAATATGAAATTCCCTTACGTTGATTACTTTTTTCAAATCCAATCAGTTTTCCACATTGATTCAACGTCCTCACATTGAATTTTTGGGTTGAAATGACGTGGAAACAACGTTGATTTAACCTGTTTTTGCCCAGTGGGATGTCACATTAGGTTGTAGCCTACCAATGTCATTTAACATTTAAGTCATTTAGCAGACACTCTTATCCAGAGTGACTTACAAATTGGTGCATTCAACTTAGGATAGCCAGTGGGACAACCACCCCCTTTATTTTTATGTATTTATTTAATGGGAGTGGGGGGGTAGAAGGATTACTGTTATACTATTCCAGGTATTCCTTAAAGAGGTAGGGTTTCAAGTGTCTCTGGAAGGTGGTCAGTGACCCCGCTGTCCTGGCGTCGTGTGGGAGCTTGTTCCACCATTGGGGTGCCAGAGCAGCAAATAGCTTTGACTGGGCTGAGCGGGAACTGTGCTTCCGTAGAGGTAGGGGAGCTAGCAGGCCAGAGGTGGATGAACGTAGTGCCCTCGTTTGCGTGTAGGGTCTGATCAGAGCCTGAAGGTAAGAAGGTGCCGTTCCCCTCACAGCTCCGTAGGCAAGCACCATGGTCTTGTAGTAGATGTAAGAGTGGCTTGCGAAAGTATTCATTTACATTTACATTTAAGTCATTTAGCAGGCTGCTCTTATCCAGAGCGACTTACAATATTATTTTTTGGGGGTTTATACCATTTGATTTACACAACATGCCTACCACTTCGAAGATGCAAAATATATTTTTTTGTGAAACAAACAAGAAATAAGACAAAAAAACTGAAAACTTGAGCATGCATAACTATTCACCCCTCCAAAGTCAATACTTTGTAGACCCACCTTTTGCAGCAATTACAGCTGCAAGTCTCTTGGGGTATGTCTATATAAGCTTGGCACATCTAGCCACTGGGATTTTTGCCCATTCTTCAAGTTGGATGGGTTCCACTGGTGTACAACAATCTTTAAGTCATACCACAGATTCTCAATTGGATTGAGGTCTGGGCTTTGACTAGGCCATTCCAAGACATTTAAATGTTTCCCCTTAAACCACTCAAGTGTTGCTTTAGCAGTATGCTTAGGGTCATTGTCCTGCTGGAAGGTGAACCTCTGTCCCAGTCTCAAATATCTGGATCATCATTCCATCATTCCTTCAATTCTGACCAGTTTCCCAGTCCCTGCCGATGAAAAACATCCCCACAGCATGATGTTGCCACCACCATGCTTCACTGTGTGGATGGTGTTCTCAGAGTGATGAGAGGTGTTGGGTTTGCGCCAGACATAGCGTTTTCCTTGATGGCCAAAATGCTCAATTTTAGTCTCATCTGACCAGAGTACCTTCTTCCATATGTTTGGGGAGTCTCCCACATGGCTTTTTGCGAACACCAAACGTGTTTGCTTATTTTTTTCTTTAAGCAATGGCTTTTTTCTGGCCACTCCTCCGTAAAGCCCAGCTCTGTGGAGTGTACAGCTTAAAGTGGTCCTATGGACAGATACTCCAATCTCTGCTGTGGAGCTTTGCAGCTCCTTCAAAGTTATCTTTGGTCTCTTTGTTGCCTCTCTGATTAATGCCCTCCTTGCCTGGTCCGTGAGTTTTGGTGGGCGGCCCTCTCTTGGCAGGTTTGTTGTGGTGCCATATTCTTTCAATTTTTTAATAACGGATTTAATGGTGCTCCGTGGGATGTTCAAAGTTTCTGATATTTTTTTATAACCCAACCCTGATCTGTACTTCTCCACAACTTTGTCCCTGACCTGTTTGGAGAGCTCCTTGCTCTTCATGGTGCCGCTTGCTTGGTGGTGCCCCTTGCTTAGTGGTGTTGCAGACTCTGGGGCCTTTCAGAACAGGTGTATATATACTGAGATCATGTGACAGATCATGTGACACTTAGATTGCACACAGGTGGACTTTATTTAACTAATTATGTGACTTCTGAAGGTAATTGGTTGCACCAGATCTTATTTAGGGGCTTCATAGCAAAAGGGGTGAATACATATGCACGCACCACTTTTCCGTTATGTATTTTTTAGAATTTTTTGAAATAAGTAATTTTTTTCATTTCACTACACCAATTTGGACTATTTTGTGTATGTCCATTACACGAAATCCAAATAAAAATCCATTTAAATTACAGGTTGTAACGCAACAAAATAGGAAAAAACGCCAAGGGGGATGAATACTTTTGCAAGGCACTGTATGCACATAAATATGTCAGTGTATATTTAGTACAGTTTTATAACTATGTCCACTGTTGACATGGAAACAAGGAGATAGTTGCCCACCCAGAGGTTAATGCATGGACAGTTTATTCAACACCATAAGCAAATCAGCAAACACATTATGTTTACTTGCATCATATTAAGATATTTATATTTAAAAAATAGAGAAATGAAAAGGGAGAATTGTTCTTGAATGATTATTCACATTGAAAATAGAGTTGCAGATCAAAATAAAGTTTTTGTTAACTATAATTAAATAATTTTGCCTATTGAACAGTGATTATATTTGCTCAACACCAAAGCTACTGTTCGGGCAACCTGGACTCAGGGGTAGACATAATATAGTAAACGTTAATCCGAAACTCTCCAATTAGTATAAACTACATGACCAAAAGTATGTGGACATCTGCTCGTCGAACATCTCATGGAGTTGTCCAACCTTTGCTGCTATAATAGCATCCACTCTTCTGGGAAGGCTTTCCACTAGATGTTGGAATATTGCTGCCTATGGCTTGATTTAGAAATAGTGATATTTGGGGGATGATTTCCTTTTCAAATAACTGAAAGTGAGAGGTTGTAATCTGAATAAAGGGAAAAAGGCCTTTCTTGAACATTGGGTGAGACAATCTTACTAATTTGCTAGAGAACCAGTTCGGATTTAAGTATAACTTTTGTATGACTGAAGCTTTTAGTGATAGGTCTAATGCTTTAATATTTAATCATTTCTGTCCAGCCGATTTTTACGCGCTACGCGCTTCAGCACTTGGTGGTCCCTTCTGTGATCTTATGTGGCCAACCATTTCGCGGCTGAGCCGTTGTTGCTCCTAGACATTTCCACTTCACAATAACAGCACTTACAGTTGACTGGGGCAGCTCTAGCAGAGCAGAAATTTGACGAACTGACTTGTTGGAAACGTGGCATTCTATGACGGAGCCACGTTGAAAATCACTGAGCTCTTCATCAGTAAGGCCATTCTACTGCCAATGTTTGTCTATGGAGATTGCATGGCTGTTTGCTCGATTTTATACAGCTGACAGCAACGGGTGTGGCTGAAATAGCCGAATCCACTAACTGGAAGGGGTGTCCACATACTTTTGTATATATAGTGTATGTTACGTTTCATATGGTATGTATACATTTTTGGATGTCCATCATCCATTTCATATGATATGTTACGATTACAATTCGTATGATATGTTACGAATTGCAATTGGTA